CCTGCTAGATATCTGAAACACTGAATTTGTGTTCTGTAAAATCAAGGAATGAATTCTATGAACAATGGAGGTTAAAGTTTTAGGAAGAATTTATTGAGAAACATAGCTTTCTATCTAAAAGAGTCAGAAAGGGGCTTGAAAGTGGGTTACCCACTAACACCTGGCCCCTTCTCAAGAAGCAAAGTTGAGCAAAGTTACAAAGTAAGATGGGTTCAAGGTAGGACAAAACTCGAGGCAACTAGATTACAAGTTTAGTTGCTTAGGTAATATGGATCCAATGGAAAGCCTTAGGGGATGTGAAGTAGGACAAAACTAGGATGAGTCTATAAGATCACAAGCACAGTTGCTTAGGTAATATTGATTAAATGGGGATCAAATCGCATAGCAAGAGCACAGGGACTGAACAAGGATTTCCCAGGAGGCAATGGGCTGGGGAAGCTTTAGTCCCCCACACAAGGTCATTGATACCTTTTTTTAATTGATACCTATTTAGAATATCAATCACTGCTGTTTTTCCCTAGGGGAAGCTTATAAGTATAGTTCTTCCTTTTTGATCTGAGGCTTGTCCTTCAACAAGTGCACCGCCAGCCACTCTTGTCTTCTCCACTGACCTCTGGAGGACCCATCCCTGTCTGATTGCCTATAAATATTCCTAAATAATTTAGGTATCTCTAATAATTTTCAAATTTTATCCTCATTCATAAAAAAGTGTTTGCTTTAAGCAATGATCAGATTGGCTTATTATAGAAATAGCCAAATACAGTTAAAGGCTTTGCATGTAGGTCATTGCTCAGAGTACAGCTATGCTTTTGAACTTTTAAAATTATTTCCTGGACTTGAAATTTAGATATTGTGATGATTAACAGACGCATAGCTGGATGCTTGTGGTGGTTATAATAGGAACCTTATAAATAAGTGCTGTGTCTATCATCAATTTCTAATGTTCTTAAAGGACAAAAGAAAAACAAATTATATTTACCAACTAAATGATATAAGAAGTAAAAGATACCCTTTTGCCACTTTTCCATAGCTAATGTCTTCCTATCTTCATAGGGAAATGTGACAGCCCAATAGAATCTCCTTGAATTTCCTATGGGCCAGTGTTAGCTTTCTGAATCTCTGAATTGTCTCACTGACTGCCTTCAGCCATATTCCTGAAGCCTTGACTGTTGCCCACATTCTCCAGGACCATGTCCCACCTGCCCTCCTTTTTTTCAGTATCTCTATCCTTGGCTTCTCCAGTGTTTTTCTTACCTATAATTGTTAAATTTCTCCCCACTTGAGTAAGTCTGCAGTTACTATCCTTATCTGATCAGAACGATTGGACATGCTTTAATTGTCTTCTTCCTATCTACTCTTTAGTGCAGTGCTTACTGATCTCTGTTTACCACACTGGATGACTGTCCAAAACTGTCACAGATAAGATTACCAATGACTTATTTCCTGTTCCTTCTCTCCCTTCCTTTCTTCCACCCATTCATTCTCATCTCTCCGTTCTCCCTTCCCTTCCCTTCCCTTCCCTTCCCTTCCCTTCCCTTCCCTTCCCTTCCCTCCCCTTCCCTCCCCTCCCCTCCCCTCCACTCTTTTTATTCTTTTTGTGGTATTAGGCATTGAACACAAGGCCTTTGCACTGAGCTACATTCCCAGACTACCTGACTGACTGGATGTCTCTCCTCTCTCTGTCTCTTTCTCTGCTTCTGTTTTTCTCTGTGTGTGTCTCTGTCTCTCTGACTCTTTCTGACTTTCTCTGTCTGTCTGTCTGTCTCTCTTTCCTATTTTGATACAGAGTCTTATTAACTCACTAAGTTGTCCCATCAGAGCTCCAATTTGAGATTCTCCTGACTCATCCTTCTGTTGTACTGGGATTGCAGACATGGACCAACACAGCCACTGGATGCTTGATGATTTTAAAATATGTTTTTTTCCGCACTGATATATGTGCACCCATGTTTATAGCAGCACAATTTGTAATAGCCAGATCTTGAAAATAATCTAAGTGTCCATGGAGGAATGGATAAAAAAATGTGTGGTATTTTTATACAATACTACTCAGCTATAAAGAATGATCACATGAGATATTTATAAATAAATGGGTGCAGCTTGAGACCATACTCATAAGTGAAATAAATCAAACTCACATGTATAAATACAGAATAGTTTGCCTAGTGTAAGAAATTTAAGAATACATAAAAGTATGTAGTAATCATGATTCCCTATTATATTTCTTTGAAGCCTTATAATGTTTTCATTCATTAAGTGGAATGGTTTTATTCTGGGTTGTTTGATTTTATTGTCTGTGATAGTATGAACAGCTATTTTGAAGAAAACAAGACATTATAATAGCTAGTGATGATTTAATATCATCTTGTTTTGAAGTCCCACCAAGCTTATGTTCTTCTGTCTCCATCAGTTTTATCATGTTGTATCTTATTGGATTTTATTATATGTGATAGTATAAACAAAAATTTTTATAGACAAGGAGATAATATAGTAACCATTGTTTGTTTTCTGTTAGTTGGTTCTGAATACTCTGTAATACTTTCATTCTCTTGAATGGTTTTACACTGTCTTTTTACATTTGATACTATAGTATATCAAGGTATACTCAAATATTTCAAGGAAAGAGACACTGTGGTAGCTAATGTTATGTTGGATTGTCTTGTGGTGAAACACTATGTTGCTTAAATTGTTCTGTTCTGACCTGTGTTGTTATGTCCTCTTTTATCTTAATCTTTTTTTAAATAAAAAAACATGGTTTTTAAATACTAGATTTCCTTACTGTTTGCCATTCCCAAGAACTGTTTGACTTTTGTGTCATAATCTTTATTTTATTCTTACAGTTTTAAACTATTCCTCTGCTATCTGTCTCATAATTGTTTTTCTCCACTCAGCCCTCCAGTACTGATTTATCTTGGGGTCCCTCTTTGGTCTTCTGTATTCATTCCTGCCCATACCCTCCTTGAGGGATCATGAGCATTTACAGAGTCTCAGACCTCACCTACTCATTATGAGTTCCTAAGATGTATTTACAGTCTAGACCTTCCTCCATTCTTAGGCTCATGTAGCCAATTTTTCAAGGAATATCTCTTCCTCAACTTTCTCATTAAAAAAAAAAAAAAGGTTGCTTCATAATACAGATGACCAAACTTTAACTCACAGTCTTTTTTAACGAAGCTCTTCTCTCTGTATTTTTACCTGTGCATTTGATAGCAACATCATCCAGCAAGTATTCTAAGTCAGAACTATGGGTGTATTTAATTACTTTTCCATTTCACTGCCTAAATCCTCTCAATAAGCAGGCTTGCTATTTTGTGTTCATTTCTGTGATCAATTGTCCCCTTTTTTTTCCAAGAAATTTCTCTGTTTATGTATTAGTCACTGTTCTCTCAGACAGGAAGACATACTACCTGACACCCAACATTAAGGAAAAAAAGGTTTACTTCAGTCACAGTTTGTGAAGGTTTCAGTCCATAATCAGCTGTCTCCAAGACAGGGTGGCATGGCACGGGGATAACACTTTCAGGTGGTAGAACATAGCAAAAACAATGAGGACATAAGGGGAGAACAAGCCTCTTTGTTCCCCCTTATATTATAAGCAGGCTACACTACCACCATTCCCACCAATCCCCCCAGCCATGCCTGTCCCAGGGTAAGTGCAGCAATCACACCACCTCTTTACCCTCCTCTTGAACCGACTCAGAATGTTTACAAAGTAAGAACCATGGCTCCCTGCTGAATCTGTTAAACCTCTAAACTTTTCTAGTTGACATAAGGTATCAGACATAACATTGTGTTACTGTCATCTGATAAGGCCATAGATGTGCTATTTAATTTAATTACTCATTCTTTGATTTTATACCTCACAAAATTTTGTTGCTCTTCTAGCCAACAGAGTACTCAAATGACCATTTAACTTTCCTGCTTTATACTTTTTCACATCTCGTTCCTACTCCTACCAGTGACAGAAATATTCATCACCCTTGAATTCATAGACAAATAATGTGCTTTCAAATGTTCAGTAACAACTTTTCATTTGGTTTCAATTTTGTTTTCATATGTTATTTATGATAATTTGGAAATATTTACGGTAATTCAAGCAAGATGTGGTAGGCATACATGTAACCCCAGCATGCTGTGAGGCTGGTGCAGAAGGATCACAAGTTTGAACCCAGTGCAGGCCACTTAGCAATTTAACTGAGACCTTCTCTCACAATAAGAAATAAATGGAGAGGTTAAGGCTCAAATATGATGCAAAGGTCCTGGTTTCAATCTCCAGTACTACAAAAAAATTGAACATATTTTTACCTTTTCTGTGTTTATGAGATAGCATGACTGTCAGGGCTATCCTCTATCCTGTCACTCATTTGAAAAGCTAACATGTAAAGATTAATTACCAATATCAGAAAGTAGCAAATTGAACCCTGTAGTTACTAAGTTTACCACTAGCTGCATACACACAGATAGAGATAGTACTGGTGTATATTTATACCTGTATATCAGGTGTTTATGAATGTGTGTATACTTTTTCCAAAAGAATGTTCATGTTATTAAAGTTTGAAATTCATTATACACACTACAGGATAAATTCTAAGGTTCTTAATATGTCTTACAGGGTCAATTTTTTTCTAGGTTCTACATATTTTTCTGTCTTAATCTCTTACCATATCCTTCCTATGAAAGTGACATCCAACTTTGTGTGACTCCTCACATACAAACTGCTTTTTTTCCTTCTGTACCTGTGCTCTTGTACTTACTCCTTTCATGAGTGAAATTCTCTTGCCTTTTTTCATTCCCTAACTTTAATTTTGAACTTTTATCTCTGCTTTATAAGTATATCCTGTATCACCTCTTTACTCAATTTTATGCTGCTTGTTAAGTGTTTAACAAATCTTTGCATCCATCATCCATTTAGTATTTAAAGTAAATAAAAGCAGTCTTTTTTTAATATGATAAAATTTAAGCTATAGGAAAGATAATCCTTCTATTCCTTTCTGTTTCAGGAAAGCTGACTTCCCAGGAAGTTAAAAGTTCTGAGAATACATTAAATCCGATGGAAGATTCTGGGTATGATTTATCAAGTGAGTGGGAAACAGACCTTTCAGAGTTATCCCAGCACTTTGTGGAGAGCTGCAGTCTCCCACCTTTTCCACCACTGCCTCTGGTGAAAAAAGCCCAGGCTACTCCAGAAAGTTCACTATCGTCTCACATGAAATTCTTGCAACATCTGCTTACGCTAAAGAATTTGACTGAATCAGGTAGCCTAGTGTTAACAGACTTAACCCATTCTGAAACGGACTCTTCCACTGTCTCTGATTCTGTTTCTCGCATGCTTGATGGCCTGATCACATTTTACCGTAACCCAAAGCTTCCTTTTTCAAAGTTTTGGACAGAAGCTGTTGATACTTTAGCAAGAGTGATCAATGATTCTAACCTCTCTAACCATATTTTGAAAACATGTTCTAAGAAGTTGGAAGAATTTCAAAATACCTTACTACAGATTCTTATAGGGAGAAGCCATATAAACCGGGTAAGTAATATAAATTAAGTAATTTAATTAAGTAAAATGTTAGTAATTTAAGTGAATCCTCCTCTTGGATAATCCTACTATAGACCTGTCACCTTGTGGCTTAGAGAGTCTCTGACCTTGATTTGCTCTCACTAGCAACTCTTAACTATTGTGTCTCTGGCTTCAGATTGCTAGGATACTGTTCTCTCCATTAGAGAATTCTGCTTCAAGTTTGTACTTACTTACTTTAAATTACTTTTTTATTTTATTTTAATCAACATGCTTGAATTCTTTGCTTATGTTTTATGCTGCTTATATTTAATTACTGTTGCTCAGAAAGCCTCAATACTTTTCAAAAAACTATTAACATTTAAGGTTTCTCGAAGTATGACTTCTGTGAGTGTTCTGTTCCTCGTGACAGATTGCATATACTGTATTGAATTTGTTCTTTTTTGCTATTGCATAGCAGATGCCATGAAGTCAAAGAATATTTTTTTTTCTTTATTTGGATTTTCCTTTGTGTGTTAGCTTTCTGTCACCGTGAAAAGATACCTGGATTATCAAGTTAAAAGAAGCAAGATTTATTTTGGCTCATGATTTCAGAGTTTGGAGTCAGTAGTGGTAGTCTCTTGGACTGGTTGCTTTTGGCCTGTGGTGAGGCAGGACGGGGAGTAAATTATGGAGCCGAGCTCCTCTCCTCATGGTGGCCAGGAAGCAGAGTAAGAGATGAGAGGGGATGAGTTACCTGGTACCCACTTCCAGAGCACATGCCTAGTGACTGAGTCTTTGTATTTCCTCCCTGTAGTGTCTCACACTGAAAGCCAATAGTAATAAATAGGCGTTCTGGATGCATTCCAGGTGCAAGCCATAACACTTTTTAAATGGTGTAATCCTCCACAGACCCTCTGTATATGTGGATTAATTGAATAAATTGGCTGTGGAACACGCCACATAAGGATTGCTTCAGTTTTTGTTTTATTTTTTCCTTGTTTATGCAATGTTCTTTACAAAGTCAACTCAGGGTTCTTTTTGAACAAGAGGAATTTAGTTCATCTGAAGCTGTTTTGTTGTTTGACTCTTGAGACATGTAGAGGGTTTCATTTTCTTATTACTTACTGCCTTATGCTATATGATCCTTTCTTTGAAAGGCTCCAAAGGCCTGCACATGTTAGTTCTTTTTAATTGATTACCAGAAACATCAAAGTTTGCTCAAATAGTCTAAATCACTCAAAAAATATCACTGCAGTAAAATCACCAGATTTTGTTTCTTTGGATGTATTTTCATGGTTTGTCTTCAATATGATAATCTAATGCAGTGTGGGTTTCATCTGAATTTTCAGCATCCTGATAAAATTTGATCCCATGAGCTAATCTGTTGTACTTATGCCTGTTCTTTCTGTTTTGGTTAAGTCTTCATTTGATCAATACTTCAGAATTTTTAAATTATGCTTTTATGGCTCATGAATGATACTATATTACTTTTCCTCTTGTTACTAAGACAAAATACATGACATCCAGAGTTAAACGAAAAAAGATTCATTTAGCTCATAGTTTGTAGAGGTTTCAGTACATAATTGACAGGTGGCAGAGTGGCACATGCAAGAGGGACAATAGTTCATGATAGCAGAACACAGCAAAACCGGTAAGCCAATGAGAAAAAACAAACCTCTTCCTGTCCGTTATATTGTTTACAGTCTACCAGGATTAGGGCGACACCAGTCCAAGCAGTGAACTGATCCATCAGACACTCACCCTTAATTCCAGTACTGAACTATGGATCAGTCACAAACTAGATTCAGCTACCTCTGACATGCCAACCCCCCACCTCCATAACTACATGAGGCTTTGGAGGGACATCCAGAAAAAAACCATAACAGATACTGAATTTTCTGTATGAGAAACTTCAGTCTTTTCCTGCTGGACATAGTCAATTAGGGATTAAATATGAGATTTCCCATGTCTGTATCTGAGATACTGTCCTAGTCTACTTTTTATTGCCGTAATAGAATTCTACAGAGAAGGTGATTTGTAAAGAAAAAAAACCTATTTAGTCTGACTCACAATTGTAGCGAGTGGAAAATCCCAGAGCAGGGCACCAGCATCTTCTTGACATCCCGAGGCCCTTCTTGCTGCTTGGTCATACGATAGAGGGCATTACAGGGTAAGACAGAGCAAGAAGTGCTAGTGTATGTTTCTCTTCCTCTTAAGGCCACAAATAACATCATAGGTTCCCCACCTCCATTACCTCATCTAATATTATTTTCTCAAATGTCCCACCTTTTAATACCATTAACATATGAATCTGTATATCAAATTTTCAACACATGAATTTTTAAGGGACACATTGAAATTCTAGCTGATGTACAATGTGTAACAATAAAGTTTGCAAATAATATTCCTTAATCATTATGTTTTGCTTTCTCCATTTGAAGCTACTTTAAATTGATTCTGTGTGACTTGGAACCTTGCAGGTGCCAGCATTTATATTCCTCATCATAGTGACTAGATGATGCACATATTTTTTCAATCTTGTCTTCCTCTCATACAAAGTTCAAAGCTTAGTATTTCTTCTACGCACACAAAAATAATCTTGAGAAGTTCATGAATGTAAGAGAATTTGTCAAAGAAGCTTGTGATGATACAGGTGATTCTCCAATGTTTCTTTTCCATACCACTTGCCAATGGTTCAGCTATTGCCAAGTAGTTGATCAACAGAGAAAAACGAGAATGAATGGCTACCTGGAAGAGGTAATTATATTCAGAGGAAGTGAAACTGTAAAATTTTTCTCCTCATTTACAGTTAAGGATGATGACTGATTGATGGATTTTAATGGTATTCTTTCTGGGGAGCTTTTTTTTCTTTTTTGGTCCTCTCCAGCAAAAGCTTTTTTGTCCTCCCCAGCAAAATCAAAGTTCTGTTATTGTTGTCCCTATCATCACCATAATTAACATCATTATCTGGATATGTTTACAAATCTTGATTTTTATTATTGTCAAAATTGGCTAATGTTTGCTATTTACAAATGCTTTTAAGTCTTTTTGAGCTTTTCTCAAATAAAAACAGTTTTAAGAAAGAGTGTTTTGACATGATTATATAACTCCTATTACTGCTTTTTTATTGTGCTTATCTTGGTACTTTTTTAAAAATCATAATTTAAAAAATTACTTTTAAGAAACTTGTTTCCATAAATTAGAAATATTTAATTAATTGTGTTGCTTAATAACTTCACACATTCTGATGGTTACATTGAAGTGAACCTATATATTTGTACATTGTAATAGAAAATGGTGTGGAATAAGTACTTTATTAGTCAATAAACAATTTCACATTTTTATAATTCATATATAGGTTTTACATATAATAAATTTTCAAAAAGTAGTTTGGTAAGTTGAGTAGTAAAATTATTTTGACGGTCACTTAGTTTTCTAAAAGGATGATAACAACTTGGTAACTTTCAAAATCTTTAGATTACCATCATTAATAATAATTACCATTGTTGGAGATTATGTGCATTACAGAGTGGAAAGTTGAAGTAAGATGACCTGGGAATAGCCTAGAAATTGCTTTGATAATTCCCTAGTATTAGCCTGCTGAAAATTATTAGTAAGTTTAAGGTGAAAATATATTTGTGTTTTCTCAGATTTAGATAATTGTTTTTTTTTCTTTTTGCAATTGTAGGTACTTTATATTTACTAAAAATAAATAGTTTAGGAGTTATTACCACAATCTTGTATCTTTTTATTTTTTAAAGTAACTATAAATGTGGGACTGGAGAAATTAATCTGCAGTGACATTTTTTAAAATGTGTGCACAAAACCTTTAAATGTGTTAAAGATACCTCACAGGGTCTGCATAGTTCCTCTTCTAGGGTCCTGGGAAACAGTCTTCATTGAATTTGTGGTTCAGCCTTCTTCCACTTATCTGACCAGTGTGGTACCATCACTATAGTCTGTGTACTTTCATGGGGCCAGGAGTGCTTATGTTTTAGGTCTTTGATGCCCTTTGTTTGAATGACATCTTGGCCTCCCTCATATTACTGACCTTTCCTATACTTTCAGACTTCAAAGTGTGTTATTTCTGTGACTATAAATGCTGTGAGCTAATCTTAGCATTGCACTGCCACTTTTTTTTTAACATGCTATCATGTGATAGTATGGTACTATAAAAAGGCTGTCTTACTATCAACATAGACATGATTAGATTTAGTTCTTTAAAGACTATGGTTTTTAAGTTTTCACTTTTCCCTGAAAAATGGGAATGACTACATTAAATTAATATTAAACTATGTTTTATCATTGAACTTGGGTAATCATTATGTGTTGCTAAGTCTTGGATAAGTAATACTATAGTCGGTTATTTAGAAAACTTTTCTCCCTCATTTCATATACTTTTAAGCCATTAAAAAAACTTTTAGACATTTTAGTATACAGTATAATCCCTAAACCTACATTATGTTTCATACTGGGGAGAAGGGAACAAAGTGCATGTTTATAGCATATAGCAATTACATTCATCATGGAGATTTGATATATACTCATGGTATTTTTTTCCACTTTCTTTTTCTATCATCTTCCATCTCATGGTTTTCTTCCCTTATAAAAAAAAAGATTTATCTGCCTGTCCCCTGTTATCTTTTACTTTGCTCCGTAACTTGAGTTTCTTGCATTTTTGAGAGTTTTAGTCATGAATGCATGTTGGATTTTATTAAAAGCTTGATTTTAAAAGCATGTACCCATTGAGATGACAATATGTGTCCCTTTCTTTTTGTTAACACATTGTATCATGTTGATTGAGTTCCATGAACTGAACTGTCTTTTAGATAAATTTTACATGATCATGGTGTGTGATCCTTTTAAAGTACTCTTGAATTTGGTTTGCCTATACTTTAATATACTATATTTACCCTACCTTGTTATATACTGTACATTATTATATAATATTTTTGCCTCCTGTTGATCAGAAATACTGCCAATAGCTTTTTTTCTAATGATATTATTCCCTGGATTTGATAGCAAGTTGA